GGAATGCCCAAATAAAAGGGTGTAGCAAGGGGATGATATGGCAAATTGCTTTTCGTAATTTCAGTGGCTGCTGGAACTCCTTCTAGGGAGTACCTTATTTATGTTTTGTCCGCTGAACATGTTAGGAACTTTTGTTTACTGGAAAAAGCTACAGTCTCAATGGTTCAGTAAATGGAATGCCTTCTATATTGGGAAGGTACAACTGAATGCTTTTAATCATGGTCAGTCAATGTGTAATGCAAGTACCGTGAACTGCAATTGTTAGTGAGACATTCCTCCTGACAAGTGATACATAGGTGGCAAACTGGGAACGTAAAGATCTTTAAGTGCCTGGGGAAAAACTCTGGCATTTTGTCACAAAAGTCGCTATTGATTTTACCTGCGTGAAAGATGCTCTTTGTGCTGTTTTTTATGATTGGACTGCTGGGAGATGTTTCCTGCTAGATGAGCTTGAGACATCTAATTCTAAGGTAAAATGTTTGTGTGCAAGTTTCGTGTTACAACCAAGGTGGATGACTCCATTTCATGTAAAGATGGGGACAGGGACAACACATATCATATGCTCCTTTGTATGGCTTGTTATGTGCACACATGGCAGGCTGGGGAGAGAAGAAGAGCGAAACAACCTTGAACGTCTGTATTCAGATACTGCCACCAAAGTAGCCAAAGATCTTGAATCTTCGACAGCGTGCACCCCAGGGTGCTCCAAGGAGTTTTTTAAAAGGGCAGCATACAGAACTAAAATCTTTGATCAGCTTTTCTCTTGAGTCAGGCTATCTAACTATAGAGTAGAGAAGAGGAAGAGTTATCTAAAATAGGATGCAAAAGCACGATTAGGATCTGGCCACACGTGGCCTTCTTCACTCTCTCCTTCCCACTTTACACACAAATGAGCAAGAAACAGGGCCTAATTTACATTTCAAGGATTAAAATAATAGGTAGCCAGCTGCCAGGTGGTTCTTCTAAGACGGGATATGTTGTGCAGCGTGCTTGTCTTCTGGGCAGAAGCTCTTTTAGGCACCAACCAGCAACTGCAGCAGACATGCTTTCCAAAGTGCCGGGGGGAGTTTCCAGTGCTGGACCACTGGTCTCACCCTGCAGTGCTACAGATTCCTCTTAAGTTCTCTATATTTGGTGGTCCCTGATGAGAGCTAGTTGAAAGAGGCATGTGAATTTAAACTTAGATTGAGGTAATGTGGAGCGAAGCATGTGATAATGGGCTGCACTGCAGTAAAACATTTCTGCGCTTCAGTCCCCTCCCAGTCCACAAGGCACTTAGCTCTTTCCTAATGACCGTGTACATTGCTGGGGCTGTAGTGGACACCTTTACAGTTCAGCGTACACTTAAGTGTTATGAGTAAAAGGGCTAGAAAGCTGAATCAGAGCTGTAATGTGGTAACAGTCTGCAGCAGTTAAAAGGACGCTATTTCTGTGTATCCTAGGCATCACTTGCTATTATTATCAGTATTTTTAATAACTTGCACAGGAGTCATTAAAAGATGTATTTCAAAATAAGTCACAGATGTACTTCTCTCTGATGAAAAATTTTCCTGGGAAGAATGAAAGCTTTCAAAACTCTACAGTTTTAAAGGAAATTAATCGTATGATTAAAAAAATAAAGTTTTGAAAACTGAAAACACCATAATGTGAAGATGTCAAAGCAAGCCACAAAACCACCCTAAGAAAGAAATAAACTTACATAAATGCTATAATGAGGAGTACTTCAGAGGGATCAGAGTTCATCTGACTTTATGAAATTGTGCATTCTCCTTCCCACCTGCTATGTGTCCCTTTTTTTGACTAGTTCAGAGGAAGCACCAAAATCGCATGGTGTGTCTGAAGGGAAAATTGTAGTTTTTCTTATTCCTTTTTGACTCTGTGACTAGGGTAGCAAATTGGCCGCAAGAAACAGGATAAGTAGGTCACCAACTGGAATCAACAGATTGGATTGGAAAAAAGAGAATGCAGAATGTCACACAAAGAATCATTGCAGATTTTACAAATTCCATGAAGCACTCATGCATTGTATATCTGTGCCAAAGCAGGAGCAGACAAATATTGATAAAATTATTTTAAGAATTTTTCTGTCTTGTCTTTTTATCATACTTTTTCAATATATGAAAAGCACATCTAATGTGCATCCATTAATGTACATTAATTTCCTTGTAGTTATCCAAGAAAAAAAATGCATAAGTAAGTAGACAGGCTTTGAAAAAGGTCCTAGCATTCAATAAAATCAGGCTCTTGGCAGAACCCAAAACCTGGAGGAGGAGGAGGAGGAAACTTCCTTCAGGGACTTGGAAAGATATAAGGAGGGAGGAGGAATGCTTGAGTCAGTGGCCCAGCCTAAAAAGCAGGCAAAATGATCAGACTTACTGATTGCAGTGGACATATTATATATTAAAGTGCTAAGCACAGCTGTTTACCAAGACTAACTTTTTACTTTACCATGAATTTTTGATAGAAGCCGCTCCAAAGTGAATCACGTCTTACGTTGCACAATTTTCCAGGAAGATTAGTTTTTGAGGCAAATGCATTTAGAAATGTTTGTCAACTCAGAAATTTAAATCTGCTCTATTTAGATTTCTTTGGGTTTAAAATGTGCCATTGCTGATTCAGCAATAGAGCAATGTTTAAAGGGTGTATAGCAAGAATGGATGCTTACACTTTGTCATGTCAGGTTTAGGTGAAAGTTGAAATCAATAAAACATGAGCACATGCGTAAGGGTGTTTCTGGATTCATTTCTAGTGACTCTAACAGCATGTGGGCTGGGCATTATTGACAGTATTGACAGACATTAAAAGTGGTCATTCAGACAAAACAAACGTATCATGAGTTAGTACCTGCAATTAAAAATAACAGTAAATAAGTATCTCAAACCTTGATTAGGAGTGAGTTCTACTGAGATTCTCAGAAAACAAAAAGGTACAGCGCTGCATATGTGATACCCTTTCGTGGAGATAGGCTAGGATTTGACATTAAGGAGATACTTAAGCATTTTAAGGTTCAGTAAAGCATTTTAACCTGTGTGCTGTGTCTTTAAATGCTTAGGTAAACCAGTCCTTGAAATTCTGGAGGTGGGTGTACAATGCACAGAGTACTGAGTTCATTATCACCACATAATAAATATTTCTGAAAATATCAACACTATGTGTCAGTGATCTGAATGTAACTTAATTTTAAAATAACATTTTATTTTGTTTATTAGTTTTACGTGGTCGTATGGAGAGATCTTTACAGTGTCTCAGCAGCAAAATGTAAAATACCTAATAAATATATCCTGTTCACAGAAATGTTTACCCAAACCTAATCTTTCAAAGAAAGCAGCAATCTGCAAGGATATAATCTGTTGTTAGAAACTGAAATGGAGTGTCTTATTCTTTTGTACTCCAAAAATAATTCTACTTGTTTACATGTGTTTTCAGGCAAGAGGAAGACAAGTAAAATAATTATATTGCAAGATGAGAAATATATAAAGAAGAGGCCTAAGGACTGAAGGATAAAAATAAAAAGGCAGGCTATCTGCCAAAATTGTGATGCATTGCCAAAGTCAAAGCCATATAAGCCTGGGAGCCTTTGGTGGGAAATTTTAATCAGATAGATAGAAAACTAAGGCAAGAAAAATTCATTTTAACTGGTTATTTAATTATATATTTGTGCTC